TTTTTTTTTAACTGTGATCAGAATGTACTTTTTAAAATTATTTAGAACTTCTTGGCTTGTGACTGTTCACTTGATTGGTGATTAATATTACTGGATGGAGTGAAGCTCCTTTTCAGAAAGTTTTTAATTTGTTAATGCAGTAATCTTTTCCAATTCAATTGGGTTGAGTATGTGTTATGTAGAAACATTACTTCTTTTACTTTCTGGGCGAGTTTTGTGTTTTAYTCCATTTTCTAATCTTGAATTACTTTCAGTATGGGTGTTCATGGGTTAGGTTAGAGAATTAATTTTTTTACACGGTGAAATGGAATCAAGTGGGCAATTCAACTCGAACTTTTATAATTTTGGGTTGGGTTGAATTGGGTAATGGATTGTAAATTATTTTGTTTTTTTGGGACCAACACGAACCCAACGACAGATTTGAAACACAAATATAATGATTGAGATGTGATCAAGATCGAGATCATGAGAGTGAGTACAGAGCGAACGGGAGAGCGCCGAATAAATTTTAGAAATGTAATATATAAATATATCTACGTATGTATATAATCGATTTGGTTTGAGTTTTACTTAATTTTTAATGAATCTATGAATCAAATCGAATTGGCCAGATCTTATAAATCTTAAACCCAATTCAAATCGAGCATTCATCTAAACTCAACCTAAACTAAGTTGGGTCTCTAGGTTTCTTGGAATTACCGAACTTTTTGTAYACTCCTAATTAAGACCTTATCTACAAATTAGTTGATAAAGTGGTGGTCTAATGAATAATTAGAGTCCGTTTGATAGCGTTTCTGTTTCTTTATTGTTCATGAAGAAAAATGTATTTCATGGTTCCAACTTCTAAGAATTCAAGTATGATAAAACAATATTTTTATTTATGTTTTGAAACAAATTAGACATGTGAACAACAAAGAAGAAACTTGTTTTGGTTGTTTCCAAAAATTTTATAAAATTATGAGAATGTTCCCAAAAAATGAGAAACAACAAACATAGTTAATTGTAAAAGTCTTAAGAAAATTGGAAACGAAAAAAAAAAAACAAGAAACAAGAATCTTTCCTTATAGAAAATCAACTCATTAAAATGGGTAAACTTAAATGCATAAATATTAAATAGCATGTATATTTGAAATTATGTAAATTATTTTATTTTATTTATCTAAGTTCAGCAACATGAGCTTAGTTTTAAACCTTTGATAGTAAAGGTAGATATTTAATATTTTAATCAAATTAAACTATACTCAAGCCAAGATGCAYATCTATAGAAGTGGTGTGTTTTTTTTTTAAGTACATAAATGATATCTTTTGATTTTAAAAAATTAATCTCATTTAATTTAAAAAATGAAGGGTAAAACAAAAATACCTAAAAGATGAAGGGAAGAAAAGTTATACAAAGCTTAGCCACCATAGCATTGTTTATTGATTTTAAAATTTGACAAAAATGTAAATATGAATTATTGGGTAGTTTTAATGGGTAGCAAAAGTATTTCTCATATTTACAAATACAACAATAACTTTTGGTTTGTAAATATGGTGTAAACTTTTAAATCATATTTTTGTTTTCTTTGTCATGCCAATTTTGTTACTAATATATTCCATATTAGTTATATAATTGATATACTGAACATAAAATATAATATTGATATAACTGAKCTACCTAATATGATGTATATCATGTATGTATCACTAATAATCTTCTCTTCAGGTKGAAGATTTTTATTTAAGTTAATATTGTAGGTTTCTTTTATTGATATATCAAGTATATCARTATTCTATTTCATTTTAGGTATATCACTTATATCACTAATATAGTTGAWATTAGACGTACCATTTATATATCTATAATATAATTGATATATCACTTATATAATTGCTATATCTTCTAGGAAATATATTATTAATATATATATAAGGTATTTATGTCCGATCAGAAGGTCATAASTTCGAATACCCACATCTATATGTTGTACTAAAAAAGACATTTGTATTAGGTATATCAACGAGACAAGTATAATTGACTTTTCTATTTTGTAGTGTTTGGTCTAGAACTCAATTTTTTATTATTTTATTATTATTAATTTTTTTTTTGCTATATTTTAAGATCGGAAAAAAAATAGTTAAACTTCTTTTTCTTCATTTTAATGCCAAGTTGCCCTAAAAAGTTGAAAGGGACTAATTTATTAGGGATAACAACAATTTCAAAAGATGACCAAACAATTTTAAGTTTTCAATAATGGGCAATGTAAAAATAGAAAAATCTCTATTAATTTTTTAGTTACGAAATTACCCTCCCTAAAATGATTTCAAAATAAATATATTATTTTCGCTTTTTATAAGAATAMTACCTATATTTTTCTCTACCACCTTTATGGGATAATTCAAATATTTTTAAAATCGTCTTACCTAATTAAAATATTTTTCCAATAAATTTTCAGGAGAATTATACTAACAAATCTAAAAAAAAAATATTTATTAAACAATAAAATCATTATAAAAAATGATACTAAAAAATCTTAAATAATATATAATAAACGTCAATAAACAAAATGTGATTAGAAACACAAATACTAAGACCCAAAACAAATAGATGAACATGACGAGAGGAACAAATGACAAATAGGGCGAACAGAGGAACAAATGACAAATACGGCGAACAGAGGAACAAATGACAAATACGACGAACAGAGTGACAAATGCGGCAAACAGAGGAACAAAATACGGCGAACAGAAGAACGATCAAATACGATGAGGAACAAACAAATACGATTAACAGAGGAACAAATAAATACGGTGAACAGAGGAACAAAGAAATATACAAAAAAAAAATGTATATAAAGCACTCTACCTACACAATCGGTAGAAACTCAACATATAGGTCTCACTCTCCTCTGCCACTTGCCGCCCAACTTGCAACAAGCTCTATCACTCACCGCATYGCTCCACCCTCGCCTAACAAGATCTTCTTTCTTCCTGGTTCGWTTTCTACTATCTTCATTTTCTCCCCCTCCCCTGCTCTAATCGTCTCTCTATGATCTTCTTCGTTGTAATGTCTCCTAGTGAGTTTTGTCTGCATATATATCAAATAATAGTAGTTAGAAAAAGAAACTAAAATTAAGGAGGGATAGAATATAGAAAAGATAACGGAAGTTAGGATATTTGATTTTAAAAATAATAACCTAGAAGTGTCAAAATAAACCTGCAAAATAGTTAGAAAAACACGAATGAATATTTTTAATTATCAAATATTATTTAGACATTTTTTAAAATCGAATCATAAACAGGGACACCTATTAAATTCTCAAATTTTTACTTTAGAAATTTGTAGGCCGACCCATTGTCCTTCATGAGGCCCTTTAAAGTCCACTCTTTTTCCAGCCTAAACAAATGCAAACAAATAATTTTTTTATTTTCATTTTTCGAGTCAAAATATATTTTTTTTATTGGTTTCCTTTTGCAGTACGTGATATATTTTTTCTTTTTTCTTCTTTAGGTCTTGATCAGTAAAATATACCACCATTTTTAATCARTTCCATATTTATTGTTAAAACTTCTTGTGATAGTGATTTGTTTTCTATTTACTTTGAATGCTTTTTTTTATTTTTAAAGTCTCATCCGATGATATATGATGTGTTCATGTTGTCATCTTTATGTCATGAATCATTAATTATAAAAGATGTTATTCGACAACGAAACAAGTGATACCATTTTTCGAAATAATTCTTAATTTGAATTATAATGGTGAATACTGAATTAATAATTTATTGAAACYTGAGGAATAAAATAAAAATATTTCAAACTTTAGAAACAAAATATGTATAAGTCTATTGGGAATATAAATTTTAATTTATAAGTTCAATGCATGCATATTTTAAGTTTGAATATCGTGTYTATTTAATCTCTATAGGTTAAAAAGTTCAATTACGTATTTGATTAGCTTTGAATAATGTATGATTTAGTATATGGTAAACCAAATACTAACATAACATATCCGTTAATTTTATATTCATCAAATAATATCTTAGCTTGTTAATCCTATAAAATGATAAGAAACTCTAAGATTAATTCAATTCAATTAAGATTATAATCTCCATTTTATAGTCTCATCTTTCCCATCAAACTCGATAGTTATCCATCTTAGGTTTAATTATACATTGACAAAGATGTAGAATCCATTCAATTCTCTTCTTATTAGGTTCGTTGTCCAAGTTTATACTATACCACATATCCATGTCTCTATTTTTCCCCTCTAACCATGATTGTTCTTGAAATATAAAATTATTATTATTATTATTAGAATGTTTCATCACAAATATGAAGGGAAAGACTTGAACTTACAACCCTTTAAAAAATATAGAAATATTTTAACGACTGAACTACATATAATTGATAAGTATTAAAAAGATAACGTTATCCTCAATATTTCTAATAAATGATATGATATTGTACATTTTGGACATAAACTCTCGTGATTCAGTTTTGAATTCCACTAAAAATGTCTCATACTAATAAAAATGTTTTTTTTTATTTATACACCCATAAGGCGCTTCTCCTTATCCAGTGGATATTGGATATTGTTAGATTATATTATTTGAATAAATTTTGTTTTTCCTATTTTGAATTATAATTCATGATTAACATAATAAAAGTATAAATATAAGTTATTAAAGTTTATGAATCAAAATTAAATTCAATGAAACAATCTTCTTATAATAGACATACATCCACTCATCTCATTAATAATTAGTTTTGAGATAGAACCTCATGAATATCCATAGATCCTAATCCTCGTTTRTGTACTTTCTCCTCAACATACGAGTTTTTTTTTTCTCGTCGTGTTTCTTGTTATAGTTTGAATGAAGATGGGGCTATAGGACCAATAATGTTTTCTAACATCACAAACTTTTTATCATGTCCCACCCAAGTGCCCCACAAATTAAGGGCATTGGAACAT